TTTTTTAGCGTGCGCAGTGAAATAGCTCACGTTTTTATACACGCAAACCTTTGATAGATCCGGCCCTAAGTGTTAACTTGGACGGCAGCAGAATAAGCCGTGAGATGTTCTGATTCTAAGGTCAGAGGTGATGAGGTCTTCAGAGAGATCTCCCTATTATCCCAGGTTGGCTTACAGCAGAATAGTAACTGGTTCGCTGTTTATTGACTAGAGTTAAATTACCTACGTATAAATAGACTGAGAAGCGGCCATTTTACCGCTGACCCAGTTACAGGAGGTTCGGTAAAGATGGGCAGGCTAAGGGCCCCCCCCGAGAGAGAAAACGGCCTGACACACACATTCATGGAGCAGGTTGCAGCTCACATGAGTTATTAAGGTTAGGTGTTCAGTGCTTTAGTGTGTTTTGTCTTGTTTTCCCCTTATTTAACTCATTTCCATCTCAGTGCCTGTGTCTGTGTAGGTGTGTGTTAGGGGGAGGGAAGTGTGAGATGGCTGATGGGTGCCTGAAGCAGGCTGTAGCATCGCTCTCTCGGACAGGCGACTCTTCCAGCTCTGAATTCCGCATTGAGTGGCTCCGTTCATGGGGTATCCGTTAAAAGGCAGGAGGGAAAAAAACAATGATTAGTAGAAGGAAAGGTTTTCAGAAAATAAAGTTGTTTATCTTTACCACATAAAGAAGAATACTTTTCAGGAAAGGAATGCCGTCCCGTCGCCCCATTTAATCCTTAAGTCACTTTAAGTCATTTTCCCCTCTCACCTGCTTTTAAAACATTTTCATTTAGTCCTCAAGTCTTACAAGTTTTAAACTTTTAATTTCATTAATAATTAATAATTGACATTTTTGCTATGAGTTATTTTTTTTTCCTGTAAGAGTTTAGTTTTCTTTCTTCAAAAGCAAAAACATAGAATACTTTTAACCTGTTTCGCTCTGGGGCTGAGGTGATTTCTTGGAACGTTGCCTCTACTTGTTCGACTTCGTCGGAACTTCAAGTCCCTCTTCCATTTATGTCAGCTTTGGTTGTAGTTTAAGGACCCAAATGCAGAGGCGGAGATGCAGAGGTGAGTTCTTGCAGTTTTAAAAACAAACAAAGGGTAACAGAGGCAAGAATCCAAAAATCCAACTTAAAATAATACACAAACCAGAATAATGGAAAGATCAGGGGAAAAACAGGCACAAGGAGCCAGGAAAATATGAGGAGAGACGAGGTAAGACGAGGAACCAGCACTGAGGAACTGCACAAGGAGAGTATTTAAGGTTGACTCAACAAAGGGAGGAGTAACGAGCTGATTGGGAGCAGGTGTGAGCAGAGGCTTCTAGGGAAAGGACTAAGGAAAAGGAAACTAACAGAAGAGGGCAACAGAGGGTAACAAAATAAAGCCTGAGAACTCAAACAAATCCACAAACACAACAAAAATAGGAATAAAACTAGAAAACAAAGAAAAACATAAATCAACATGAAACTGAAAACTCAAAGAAAATTTAACAGATTAAAGATCATAAGATTTCATCTTTATCTATTGGTAAATTGACAATAAACAATATGCACGAACACCTAGTCTGCTGGTGCCAAGTGGGGATCTGACTCTAGATTACTGACATCTTAGTAAAATCAAGTATCTTCTGGTGATACTTAGAACCTTCCTCTCTGTACTTTGCCCTCCGCAAATTACCCCTGCGTAGGGTATTTTGCTCTCAAAAAAACAAATCTACCTTTGTCCCCAGCAGAAACTGTTATCTCTATATCAATTCTAAATCTAAAAATATTTGAGCCATGCTGACTGAAGATTTCACACCGTCTCAAAAACATCCGTTTGTAATTCCTGCTGACCCCTGGAAACATTGAGTCAGAATTCCTCCTTCTATTAGGATTGAAGCCAGGATTTATTGCAGGTTGATCAGACACTTCTGTCACAACTGCTCACAGAAAGGGCGATCTCGCTTTGACAGTACCAAATTGTCTTGAGAAAAAAGTATTCAACTATTTACTGCAGTTAAATAAACAAAGATTGATGGATTTGATTTAGCTGGCATTTTATTTAATCTTTGCAAAGAGAGAACAAGACATCATTCAGCCCTTAATCAGTGCTGTTCCGATCTGGACAGAGTTTGCCCCTTACTTACAATAATGAAACGTAGTCAGAGTCAAAACAAATTACTGAATATAAATGAATAAAGCTTGAGAAAGGATCTGTCTTGTCATTGGAATAAGTACTCAGCAGTTACAAAAAAAAAAAAAAGTCACATTATATTAATTGTATTATCTTGTGTAAACATACCGTGACTCTAAAATAAAAGTTATCATTTGTGACATTGACTTGACTTGTGATTTATCTTAAGTTTTTAACCTGTCAAGTTTTTTGTTTTTGATTTTTAACCCCTTGAACCCTACGGACCCACCGGCGGGTCCAGCTGCTACGTGACCTCGTAATTTTACCAAACCCCA